AATTAATACGGTAAAAGTGTAACGCGTGCATAATCAGGTCAAGAACGAGTTGGCGAAACGTTGAAAAACATGAAAGAACGGTTTTCTTTGTCTTTTTCTTTTTCTCTTTTTTTCTTTTTTTTTCTTCTTTCAGGTTAACAAATCGTTCTATAATAGAACCAATTAAAAACGATCGGAAAGGGGGAGGGTGCGGAGAGGTTTATATAAAAGAAAATTATTTGATACGCATTGAGTATCTAATATCTGCGTGGTCACGATCGATCCACTGTACTCTCTCTCTCTCTCTCTCTCTCTCTCTCTCTCTCTCTCTCTCTCTCTCTCTCTCTCTCTCTCTCTCTCTCTCTCTCTCTCTGTGTGTGTGTGTGTGTGTGTGTGTGTGAGTGTGTGTATACATATGTGTGTATGTATATGTTTACGTACGTACATACATGTTTTTATGCATATATTACGTATGCGTATAAAAGAACAACACGATACTCTTGTAATTTTAATAATGTCGAACTGTAAACTCTTTGAAGCATAAGTTTTATAAACATAAGAAAGAGAAATAGAGGGAAATAGAGAGAGAGAGAAAGAGAGAAAGGAAACGACAATAAAATATTTAATCACTACAATGATCGATTACTTTCCAAAGAATAATTCAAGCTATAATGCAATTAGTATAGTCATTAGAAGAGATCAAACATTATATTTGTGCTTCGAATTACATTATATATATATATATATATATATATATATATATATATAAAAATATACACAAACACACATTTATGAATACGCGAGTGCGTGCATGCGTGCGTGTACAGCCAACTAATCACACGTACACACGCTAGTTCGATAGTACGTTTGTATTTGGCACGTAGCCGCGTTACGATCTACGAGTGCGATAATTCACGACGACACAACGACGATGATAACGTCTCCTACCAAGTATTTACATGTTTTCATAACAAACCTAACCTTAGCGTGGGCGCTCGTGCGTTCGCTTAACACAATGACAATGAAGACGACAACGACGACGACGCCATCTCAAAATTATCTCAAATTTCTCTCTACGCAAGTTTTTATCATCTTCAATAACGTTATTACCTTACAAACGAAATCGTTTCTTTTTTATTTTTCATTTTTTCTTTTTTTCTTTTTCGCAAAGCCATCCAAAATTATTTCGATGCCGGCTATTATGCACGATAACGTTATCGAATATTTATACAAGTACATCTATTAAATGTGAAACAAAAAGAAATAGAAGAGAAAAGATATATATATATTTAAGAAGAAACAAAAACGATATTTTTCTACTTCTCTCTTTTCTTTTTTACTCTTATTCAAGAATTAAGATTCCGGGTTAGAAAAAAAAAAAAAAAAAAAAAAAAAGAAATTAATTTGTAACGTGGGAGATGAGAAAGAAGAAAAATGGCCAACAATAAGACGTCTCTCGTAGTCACGACGAAAAAAGAAAAGGAATAAAAGTAAAGGAGAAAAGGAAAAAAAAGGGGGGAAAAAAAGAAAAAAGAGAACGATAGAGAA